ACGACACCGCCCATACCCTCTTTCGCGGAGACCGAGAGACACCGCGCCCTAGTCTCTCGCACGCACACGCGGCCCTGCGCGCGCCTGTCCCACGCCCTTGGTACTGTTACACGCCCATTCCCACATTGCATAATTGCTTGCTAAATCCGCTTGCTTGCCAACATCACACGCTGCTGCTCGTAAGTCTCCTGCACCGTCTCCATCACCTGCACCGTGTGGGGGATTGGACAGTCCCTGTCATGATAATCCTTCTTAAATATGATTGTGTTCATGATAATGGTGATGACAGGTACACGGTGATTAATAATAACAATGATAGCAATAACTACATTAATGATAATGATATTAATAATGATAACAATATATTTGATAACAAAATTAATAATAATAATAAAAAATAATAATGGTAATAATAGTAACGATAATAAAAATAATGATGATAATAATAACGATAATAAAAATAATGATAATAATACTAATGATAATAAAAATAATGATAATAAAAAGAATAATAATAATACTAATCATAATAATAACAACAACAACAATAATGTTAATAATAACAGCAACAATAAGATGCAGATGAAGATGATGTCCCGCATCAGAGCCCCACACGACCACGCTTCCGGACGCCGCTAATTAGCAGCGGCGAGGCGGCGGGGCAGCGGTCCCGCCGACCCTCCAGGCGCCCGCGCTGCCAAGCCCGAGCCCACCGCGCGAGAGTCGTTTCCCGGAGGCCATGTGCACAGACAGCGCACTCACGGCCGAACCGAGCAACACGTGCACGCGCGATTTAAGAATGAAATGTCAGGCTCTACTGGCGCGGATTCCTGGCTTCATTTTGGCTGCGGTTGGTAGCCCTGTCGAGGCGCCATGTGAGATTTTTTTTTTTTTTTTTTACCCCGGTTAGCATTTCCTCTGTTGCAGCAACTCACGCGCCCTAAAATAAATCACGAAGCGGAAACTCCTGCCTCTCATCGCTGCTATACACGTTTGCTAAAGAAAGTTCACAGAATATCGAATGCACTCCCGCCTCCCCGCCCGGCCCGACCTGTTCCGACCCGGCGAGACCAGGGCCGGTCCGGCGGCAGGAGTGATTTCCATTTTTTCATTGATGTGAGGACGTGCACCTCCGCCCTTCCCTGGCGGAGGGTCGCGCTCTACAGATTGGGAGATGTGGAAGGATGCAGAAGACAGGAGATAGGAAGAAATAAATACACATAGATTAAACACTTACTCATTGATAAACAAAGGTGTAAATCGAGAGAAACAATATAAATGTATGCGCACGCTTGTGCATGCGTGCGTACGTGGGTGTGCATTTAGCGTGTGTTTCTTTCTCTATCTGCCTCTCTGTATGTTTATGTGTGCATTGTGTGTGGGAGGGGGCTGCCTATTCGTCTGTCTGTGTCTGTCTGTCTGTCTGTCTGCCCGCCTGCTTGTCTGTCTGTCTGTCTGCCCGCCTGCTTGTCTGTTTGTCTGCCCGCCTGCTTGTCTGCCCGCCTGCTTGTCTGTGTCTGCCCGCCTGCTTGTCTGTCTGCCCACCTGATTGTCTGTCTGTCTGCCCGCCTGCTTGTCTGTCTATCTGTCTGCCCGCCTGCTTGTCTGTCTGTCTGCCCGCCTGCTTGTCTGTCTGCCTGCCCGTCTGCTTGTCTGTCTGCCTGCCCGCCTGCTTGTCTGTCCGTCAGCCTGCTTGTCCGCCTACCAACTTTGCCTGTCAGTCGATCAATCAGTCAGTCTCAGAGCGTATGCGTGGATACGCAAGTGTGAGAGTGCGTTCCAATTTATCACCTTCAATCTCCACCGCCACTTCCCCCCCTCACCCCACCCCTGCCACGTGCCTCGTGTGACCCTCCGCCCACTCCTCGACCCCCGACACAAGCGGCAGGCAAGGTCAGGCACCCTCGGCGTCTGAGAGTGGGACACGGATTTGCGGACGCCCCCCCCCCCCCGACATTTCACCCTAACTTATCTTCACGAAATCAAGATTTTGAGATGAGGAAGGGAGAGTGAGTGGGAGAGGGTGAAGGTGAGGGAGGAAGGGAAGGAGGGAGGGAGGGAAAGAGAGAGAGAGAGAGAGAGAGAGAGAGAGAGAGAGAGAGAGAGAGAGAGAGAGAGAGAGAGAGAGAGAGAGAGAGAGAGAGAGAGAGAGAGACAGGAGGGGAGGGGAGGGGGCGCTACCAGGAGAAAAAAGTCACTATGTAAAGGACGGAGAATAAAAGATAAAAAGAGAAAGAGGGAGAGAAAAAAGAAAGCGGGGAGTTCACATCAGATTCCTACAGCAGGCTGGATTACTCCCCTCGTGTCATTGATTACCA